CTATATCTAAAAAGGGATGTAATGAACTTAAAAGGTATTTCTCTGCACTTTTTTTTTGTCATTTGAACAATACAAATTTGAGCAGGTTTACTTGTAATTATGTCTTAATGCATGAATCTATCGATTTATTTTTTGGATCTTTGTGAATTTGTAGATTTAATTTTTGATTTTCAAGAAGTAGATGCTAGCAACTAGGAGTGAACCATGTGATGGATGTGTGGATATCTACTAGATAGTAGATCCATTAGTAAATTCCATCAAAAACTTATTTTTTCTTATTTTTCAATTTATACTAATAAAAATAAATAATATAAAATAGTTTTCAGAATTATTTATCAAATTAATTAGTTTGCATATTTCTATATATAGAGTGTTTAGTAGTTCCATAGATATAACACAATTTTTGGATTAGTATTTGTTCTTAATTTTTGGAAATTTTAATAAAAGCAAATAAAATATGAAATTGCTTTCTATAATGTTTTGGGGCAAAATTCTTAAACTACCCTTATGGTTTAGCTAATTGACTAACTCTACTCTTACTGTTTACATATTGTCTTAAAGTACCCCTACTGTTTATGACAATTGACTTCATCATTAAATGGTAACGGAAAGAAACAAAATGTCAAAATTTCCCTCCACTATTCCTCAAATTTTCAAAATAAAATCCAACTGATGAAAATTTTGACCTCCCCTCTTCCCTTCCATCTTCTTTTCCCGCTATAAGGCCTATGTTCATCACAGACTTGTGCCATTCTTTGATGGTCTAGAGGTATACCCTTTTGTGATTGATGCTCTGCTTTCTTCAAGTTTTTATTCCCAACACTAAAAACCTTATAGGGGAGTTTGACAATGCTCATTAGTCAGCAGGGAGGTTTAATAGTGCTCAGCCTTGTTTCAATAGTAGTAAGAGGCTGGAATCTGTCTTGTTTCTCATTCCAAACCATCATCAAGATGATAGCTCCTCGCTTGATGTACTCCTGCCACTCTCACTCTTTCGCTTCTATGTCAAAGCCTAACCCTAGAGCTGCTGAAACCTAACCAGATCTCTGCACAGATATGCCCTAACAACTCTACATGTCGGAAGTCCCAAAACCATATCTCTACCCAGATCTGAAGTCCCAAAGCTCTTTAAGTTTATTAATCTATTTATTTTCGCAGTTGAAAGATGGTCCCAGAAACACTAACAAAGGGCTGAAGTCCCAGTAGATTTACCCACATCTACCTTGGATATCGTCATTGTAGAAAAAGTCATGTTTTTTAAAACCAAACCATGACTACCTGTTGGGCTGAAGTCCCAACAGGGGTCTGGTTACCGGTTCGAACGGTCAGCCCGTTTTGACAAAAAATTAAAAAATTGAAAAACGGTCAAAACCGTTTGAACGGTTCGAACGATTAACTGGCCGGTTCAGCGGTTTGCTGACCAAAATCAACGATTTTGGGGAAAAAAGAGGTTTTGGGGGAAAACGGAACCGGTCAGGTGACCAGTTCCTGGTTTTTCTGGTTCGACCATCTGGTCCGGTCTGGTTTTGAAAACCATGGAAAAAGTTTTTCTGAACCTAAAACAAGGAAACTTGAATTCCTTACACCATCTGTCTTTTTGTTTGAATCCATCGATCATTGCTGACGTTCTATACAAATGTAGCTCAAATTTTCTATTGGGTCATAATTAAATTTATAGATTTTCTAKGGACAATTTCGAGTTTTAGACATTCTTCATACTCATTGAGTAAGATGATTCACGTTTTGGTCAGGAGTAGGAGAATTCCATAAGCACAGCCTTTGGTTCCTCGATTGGTTCGAAAGAGTGGTGTTTCAAGAGTTGAAATTGTAGATTCGTTGATATCAACTTATCAAAATTGGGGTTCTAATCCCGTGGTTTTTAATGTTCTTATTAGGACTTAAGAAGTGTCTATAACATTTTGAATTTTGATAGGTAGAGGGTTTTCTCCAAGGTTCAAAGTATCGACATGTATCGACCCGTATCAGCTGATACGTATCGTTCTGGGACCCCTCCGATATGTCCTTATATTGGGTGTATCGGGGGTCTGACCGGTTTAGGGGTAGAGGAGCCCTAAATCGGCCCCCTGAACCGATTTCGAAAAAATAAAACAAGTAAAAAAAAAGTACCGATTCGCCCGATACGCCCCTACCGACATATCAATATTTTGAACATTGGTTTTCTCTCTATAAATGCCTCCAATTTTCTTCTTGGAAGGCTGGTTAAAGTTGGTTGGGTTGGCAGGTTGAGGATGATGAACAATTCATAGGAAGGGTATTTTAGGAATTTTTAAAAGAATTACCAGTCAGGTGATGTCATTTGTCAACAAAGTGTGACGGAAAGTTAATGGCAAGGGAGGTTTTAAACAATTATTAGAAATAGTAGAGGTACTTTAAAACAATATGTAAACAGTAAGGGTGAATTAGTTAATTAACTAAACCATAAGGGTAGTTTAAGAAATTTGTCGTTAGAAATAGTAGAGGTACTTTAAAACAATATGTAAACAGTAAGGGTGAACTAGTTAATTAACTAAACCATAAGGGTATTTTAAAAAATTTGCCCAATATTTTATTAACTACACTTTGTTTTATATATATTTTTATATCTCATATTGCCTACATGAACCTTGTTTGTCCGTGTGTCTTTTAGTGGACAAAAATAATGACACTACTCAAAGTTGTCCTTATCATCAGGGGTCTTAGGACTGGTGACCTAGTTCTCGAGATGGTCACTTGGCACCCCTCCAAGTAGAGCAAGACTGGAAGCTCTCCATGGTATGGTCAAGTTTGGCTTCGATCAGTGCAAGCCCATGCTCACACTGTTCGAACAACCTCTTGCCAGCTTGCATTGGGAATATCTCCCCATGAAATAAAGCACGCTATTCCGAATGCAAGGCTGTAAAGCCTGTTCGAACAGGGCTTGCACTGACTGAAGCCGAACTCGGTATGGCCGGTGCACCTATGTGTGCCCTGCTCTGCCCCACCCAAACTCGCTTGTTACATGGAGCCCGGATCTATTGCTCGCACCACTGTGTATCATTTTCTAAGTAATCACAGGTTAACATTGCCAATGTCCTGTACCACAAGAGAATATGCCATTTGGTCCTATTTTCTGTATCAATTTAACTCCTTAACAATGCTTCCGACTCTCATTGTCGCAACATCTCCATGCTCTTCCCTGATGGCTTTGGGCACCCTAAGGCTAGGGTGCTATATGCTAGACCTAGATAGATTGTATTGGCATCATTACTGTTTTAACCTAAAACATTTTAAGTTGATCAATTGTTCAATACAAATTGGCATACAAGTGCTATCTAAACTTGTGTATAGTTGAAACAGGAATACCTTAACAATGCATGTGCTGGAGGCTGTTTGTAGAATGCCAGATTGACATTTCAGTAGCTTAAGTGACTGTCATACAAGATATGACGACACGGCAGATATCTCACCAATCAAACGTTTCAGGTAGAAACAAAAGTCCCAACACAACCACGAGGTTAGTAGGTTGGTGGTAGTAAGCATTTATGACATGGAGACTGCTCTTCTCCTCCTGAAAGGGAGGGATGCTGAGTGACCAACTAAATGCCACCCTTTCCCCTATTTTAGAAGACCCCATATACCATTTTGCATCCTAATACAAAGCCTCGTTGCAATGGAACCATTTCAGACCTTGAAAACATTTTTGCCTCGTTCTCTTTTCCGTAAATCACTTGCCTGGGTAAATGCACTTATCTGTACTGTACCCGGATAAGTGCATTTACCCATGTTCTTTTATTTCCCATGTAAATAAGGCAATGACAATCTTAGTCATAAAAATTCCATTATTAAAAGAGACATTTTTGTCCCATCCAAGTATTGACAACTTTCCCCTAGATGGAAAAATCAATTTATCCACCTATAAGATTGGTATCAGGAAAATAAACTTTCACTGGTCCTCACATAAATCTGAAAAAATGAACATGGGTTTTTAAGTCAACGAGAATCAAAATCCCATTGACCAACTTTCCCCTCTCTCAAAATCCAAAAAAAGAACGCCCCCTTTAGGGGAAATGACCTGAAAGGTCATGATAAGTTTGCTAACATATCATTGTTTCGAAGGGCAGCTCTTCCAATATCTTGCTCTCAAGGGCCGAACTTGTTAAACTTCCAAGGAAAAACGTCAGACAAGCATATAATGTTTGATTGTTTGTCTCATTTTTCTTTAGATAGACAAAACTACCCTTGTATTTATTTTTCAAGTCTAGTTTCATTTTTGGAGAAATCATTATATCCCACAGACATAATGATTATTTAAAGAACAGGTTCTGTTTGAAAAAACAAATTATTGGAAGGTGTGAAATAATCATCTTTTACTTCTTTGAAAATTTTGCTTAAAAAACCAAATTATTTTCAAAGAACAGGTTCTGTTTATGAAACATTAGAACAGAAATGTTTTGGAAGATGTGTGAACTTGATAGAGGGAGGTAGTAGCTAAAGTAAGGACAAATTTGTGTGCGAAAAAAGTACTAAGATGGAGGTTGTCTATCAAGTCCACAGATCTTCCAAAATTTGTATTGGGGTAAGGCCTTGTCAAGTTGAGTTGAATTGAGTTGTTGGGTCCCAACCTCAAGTTTCAAGAAGGAATCGCCACCTAACGAATAATGTTTATTATAATGGACTGTTTGCTTGGTGATCTTAATTCTTTTTTCCACCCATAAATTGATAATAAATCAGCTTTAACTACTGAATGAAGTTCATAAACTAAAAACACCTTCAGCACCTGTATGTTATTCTGGGACATGAGTAAAAACAGGACAAGCATCAAAAAGATCTATTACCTGCTCAGCTGAGCTCATGCAATCATCAGGTTATCAGGTATATGCCCAGCTGAGCTCATGTAAGCATCAGGTATATAGAAAGTTTCATCTAAAAGATCACCCTCTTAATGTTAAAATTAGAGTAGAAAAAAAAAAACATATATAACATAGGAAGTCAAGCAAAAGGACCAAGGACACATTGGAATATTGAAATGAAATAAATGAATATGGATCTGTATTTCTTTCATCAAAATATAAATAGGAAAATGGAAATTGGAGAGAATAATAAAGTAGAGAAGAAGACAACCAAAGGAAAAATAGCAAAATGTTTCACATCAAAACTTCATGTTTATTGTCACAGAAAGCACGAGAGTGAAAGAATGCACTCCTGAAGAGTAACTCTCTACAGACAGCCCTAGGAGCTATTTACAAGTCCCACACAATTTATATTTCATCTATAGACACAAAACATCATTTTCGGCCCCCAAAGCAGCCACAACAACTCTGAAAACAGAGAATCAAATGTAGTAAGAAGACATACAGAGATAAAAAGGCCAAAAAAGAAGAAAAAGAAGAGATATTGATGGGAACAGAGAACCTACCACATCACTGTAATTGTTGTTTTGCTTCTGACCATTGGTGTAAGATGATTCAGTTGGCATGACTGGTACCTTTGCTGCTCCGCTCTGCTTCTCTTCCCTCACTTTGTTGAAGATGTGAGTATAACCATCAGCTGACGCAGGGTTGTTCTCATCCCAATCACCAAATTTTGGTACAGCAGGACCTCTTTCAAACTGCCACATAAGAAATTACATTATACTCTCAAACAAAATTGATATGAAGCATTTATTGTCTCCAAGATCACTGAGACAAGAAAGACACAAACATAGTTTTCAAGGTGCCAAGGAGAGGCTAGGCGATAGGGAGTGTCTTGTCACCTAGTCACCTAGGCATCACCTAGGCGATGGAACTTTTTAAATAACAAAACATGAACCCTAGGGTAATTCCCTAGGTTCCATTCCAACCGGCAACTATCTATAATTAATAATTATCTATAATCTTCATAAAAAAAGTATAAGTTTCATATTAAAACACAGAAAACCAATATTACTCATGAGAAGAAAATGAACAGAGGGTGGGCCTTGGCGCAATGGTTGGGTTGCTCCGCTGTGACCTGAATGACCAGGGTTCAAATCTTGGAAACAGCCTCTCTGTATGTGCAGGGATAAGTCTACATACATCTGTGCCCTCCCCAGACCCCACATTGGTGGGAACTTCGTGCTCTGGACTGCCCTTTTAGAAGAAAATGAACAAAAGAAAAAAAAATCACAAAATATAGGGGCTGACCCCCTGTTTTTCTCCTAGGAAAAAAAAAAGAAAAGAAAAGATGGTGAAGATGGTGAAAATAAAGAATGAATTGATTAGGCAAAATTTTAAGTTCCTCCTTGCTTATTGGTTCAAGTTCTAAAGTCTTTGGGGGTTCACAGCATTCAGCATATACCAACATGCGTGTTGATTGAACCCTACCAAATAAGAAATAACAAGAACCTATTATATAACCTACAAAATGCCTGTTTATTATTATAAACACAAAAACATAAAGAATACAAGAATATTCATACATCATGTGCAAAATAGGTAGGTGATTAAGTGAGGCGCCTCCATTGACATCTTGTTGCCTAGACACCCACCTTGACAACTATGGATATGAAGTTACTAAACCAAACTAATCACCAATATAAGCTATGTCATTAAAGCAAGACTGAACTGAACATTGAACAGAAAAAGGGCTAAACAGGTCCAATAATCCACCAATAAGGATTGTCAGTGGACTTCAAAAGTCTGATACCCAATTTGACTTCCGATTCAATTATCCTGGATTTGGATGTTAGAGCTTACATATTACACACAGCGATTTCGGATAAAAAAAAAAAGGGCAGCCCAGTGCACGAGGCTCCTGCCAATGCAGGATCTGGAGAGGGACAGATGTACGTAGCCTTATCCCTACACACACAGAAAGGCCGTTTCCAAGATTTGAACCCTGGTCACCCAGGTCACAATGGATTTATTTCCCTACACTTACAGAGATGTACGTAGCCTTATCCCTACACATCAGATAATAATAATAATTTTTGTCTCCCCACCAGAACCCATGTAAGAAAGACAAGTATGAAGCATGATGTATCGATGGATTTATTTCCCTTCAATCTAAAAATTTATTGAAAAATATAAAATATTAAATCATTTCTAAAGATAACTCTTTCTCACACTTATTTTTTGTTTCATATGATGATTATAATATTACAGATGTCTCCAAATTTTCTATAAAACTTCTCCATTTTCTATATTTTTATCTTTTTTTTTTTGTTTTTTTTAAACTGTAAGGAAAAGTATTTCATTCCAAAAAAAAAAAAAAAACAAAAGTACAAGATTCCCCTTGTACAATGAGATTCTGTACAAAGGATAACAGCTATCAAGATATGACTATACATCAGAAATTCCATTCTAAGACTTCACAATAATAAGATTCCCATAAAAAAAGGTATTACACCTTTTTCCTTTAAATAATTTATGATTTACCAACCAAGAAAATATCAGGCCCATCACCCTCTTAATAACCTCCTCTACTGGGCTCTCATCATTCCTCTCCTCCCATACTTCCCAGAAAACAGCTGATGGAATAATACTCCATACCACTTTGCCAGCTTTACTCAGACCTTTTTGAACCCATGCATCTAGAAAACTCTTAATATCACCCAGGAAATACATCTCTACCCCAAATAATTCCAGCACTTTTGTCCATATCCTATAAGAGAAATCACAATGAAGCAACAAATGGTTTACTGTTCTTCACTTCTGCCACACATAATATATAACACAACTCACATCATCCACTTCAGTACCCGTCTCTAGTTAAAATTTTATTCTGGGGCGGGCTTTAGATTTTATATTTCATTTCCATCATCAATAAAAATAATTCTTGTTAATCACACTTCTTTTTCTTCAATATGATTAATATTATAGACTTAATTAGTAGAATTTATTGGTGATAAATGAAAATCTCTTAAATACAATATTTAATGAGAGAGGATGGGAGTTAATGCCTCAAACATAGGACTTAATGAGAGACAATTGAATTAAGAAATATTAGTTCAAATTATGTTTATCCTCACAATTAAATAGAGATCAAATTCAAAAGTAGGGGTATTTTAGTCAAGAAAAGTTCCAGAAATATCATACTTTTAATGGTAGTGTGTCTGTATGTATGTNTAATATGCATTAGCTCTAATATATTTAATATTTTATATTTATATACATTTATTATACATGTACAAGTTAAAAGTAATTTTTTAGTTTTTGTCATTAAAAGTTCCAGAAATATCATACTTTTAATGGTAGTGTGTCTGTATGTATGTATATATATATATATATATATATATATCAAAATTATATAAAATTTAGAACTAAAACTAATATGCATTAGCTCTAATATATTTAATATTTTATATTTATATACATTTATTATACATGTACAAGTTAAAAGTAATTTTTTAGTTTTTGTCATTTTAAGCACAATAAGGCAGGTGCAGATCTGAATCCAATCTGATTGCAGCCTTACCATCAATGACGGCCTATTGGTGAAACAAGCAAAGAGTTTCTTGTGCAACCATTCACTTGTTATAATTAATAAAGAGCTGTTCTCACTGATAGAAAAGTAGTGAAACAAATGAAAAACAAATATTGCATTCACACCATACAGAGCATGCATATATATGCAATGTATATATGTATATGTGTGTGACTTTATGTGCTTATGTATATGTGCTTCTTAGCTGATAGGATCAAGAAGAATTTACAGTTTCATCGCCTCGAGATCTAGGTYGCGATCTTCCAGGGGTCAAGGGAGCTAAACCATGCCCATGATCAGATGAACCCTTTCTTTCCCAGGAAGGAGAAGCTACACCAGTTCTACCTGCAACTCTTGCCTGGTAATGAGGATGGAGTGGAGAGTGTTCAACACTCCGGTCAGGTGTACCAACTGGTCGACCAGGCTTTTTGGCAGTTTCACCAGAACTTACTCTACGACCTCCAGTGTCATGGCGTGCTGGAGAATCAGTTAGTCGCCTGAAATCAGCATCTTCCCTGCTTGATTGGTGCTCATGCTTCGGCCTTCCAGCTCCTGTCCCCTCCAGTTCAGCTCCTGTCCTGAAGGGAGGAGCTCGAACTGGTGGTGTTGGTATATTATCAGAAAACATATCTGGGTTCTCTTGAGGGTCATTTGGATTTATAATCTTCCCGGTACCTCTGCCTTTCCGTGCCCTCTCGAAGTAAGCTGTGTAAGGTACATTCTCTTCGCTTTCCCAATTACCAAATTTTGGTACATGTGAACGTTGCTGTCAAAAGATTGCAATCAGCATTGTTATTTCTACCAAGAGCCAGTAAAATGACTAATATCACCAGTGTTTTAAAAATGAGAAGCATGTGCAAGGGGTTAACATCAATGACACCCTACCAGTGAGGAAATTCAAAATTGTTACCTCTAACTGGAATTTGCATGCAACCTAGAAAGAAAAAGGTTGGTATACCAGTCCAGTTCATAATCCAGGGTTACAGCAAGAAAAGAACTAAGACATATTCAAATGATTGACAAAATATAGACAAACTATAACTAGTTTTGTGAAGCAGGAAGGCCACTGTAAGCACACAAATTGCAAACTGGACCAAGGATAAGTATAGACTTGGGATGTGAGACCAGATAAAGATAAAAGCAAGAAGTGAATCAAAGTGCTCACATGTTAATCCATCTGGAATGATAATGGCATCATACTGGTCAAATAGAGGAAAAAGAAAGAAAGAAAGAAATACTAGGAACCTCATATTGAGGTCAAATTATCAGCTTCAAAATGTGCTATAGTTATCACAGCTATTCTTAGGCACAGGCAACAAGGCATCTATGGGGGCGCTTTTACATCATATTTTCTTTGCATATGTGTCCAGTGCCTTCTTAGGCAAGGGTAAACCAGCCACCCATCATATGCTGTATACCATGTTGTATTTTATTTGACCAATGACACATAAGATCATAGTGTAAACACTATTATGTTTTTCATTACATATCAGCTTCAATTAATACTTCCTTGCTCAGATTCAATTTGCTTTACTTTGCTCATTCACATGGATTCAATAACTTATTATGCTATTGATTTGTTCTTTGCTTATATGCTTGGGGTAATGTTATATATTTAAATACATAATTTTAAATGTGTGTCTACTTTGCTGAATGGAATTGATTATATTGTATATGGTTAATAAGATTTACAATTAAAAGTGATACTGCCTCATGAAGTTGAAGATGTAATGTGTCCTCATATGGATCCTAAAAATTTTGTATTTTCAATACAAAATAATAAGAATTGGAAAAAAATGGAATTTATCAACATGCACTATACCAAATAAGCTATAGATCGTATTTGTCAAGAAAGCACCACCCATCCAGCACCTAGGTGGTTCCTTGCCTAAGCACTTAGGCAACAAGGCCATACCCTATTGCCTACTTTTGCATTGCCACTTTGACATATACATGTTAGAGTCAAAACCCACCAGATTCCTGAGCACTTCATGTTTTTTCCCTATTTTTTCTCCATGCAATATAAACATGTATAGGTTTTGCCATTTCTAACATGAATTTTTTTTTTTGATAAATGATGATAATTTTATTAGATCATAAATAGGTTTGAGATTGAAAGCTCATACAACCCCCGGAGAGGAATATTTCTAACATGAATTTTTTTGTAAGGCAATATTTGTTTTGTTAACAAATGTAAAAAAGAAAAAAAATGTTTTGTTAAACCCTTATATCCATTAGAATCTGTTTATCACATAAATTATTCAAGTACACTAAGGAACTCAAAATATAATAGCTTTAAAAAATCTAGAATCCAAAATGCAACAACAAAGTTAGAAACAAAAGGAACAGAAAGGTATAAAAGGTAATAATCATGTTTGGCACAGAAAAGAGGTGAGAAAGGAAAAAGGTTTTGAGGTCAATCTGAGCTTTTGAACAAGGACCAGGACATCAAACAGTAATTTCATTAAGAACATGAAAATCTGGTGCTTTTTCTTAGAAAGAGTCACATACATGACATTCAAATGGGATACGAGCACGGGGAACATATTCTTTCTGTAGTGAAAGTTACTTGGCCTGAATTTGAAAAACTATATAAAACAGGCATACATTGTCTTGCAAATAATACTTGTGAAATAAAAATGTGATATATTTAGAGGCATCTGCACTTCTGATCCTCAAGAATAACCTTGAGACATTTTAAATCATAATTAGTTTGATAATAACAGCACTGATTTGAATAATTGGAAACGGAAAAGTGAGAAATATTCRGAAAAAGAAACAGAGAAATCTCAATCTGAACATTCCAACTCCAGTCTCAAGACTAAATGGCCTGAAAACTCCAAAATAAGCCTTCAGCATTATCCCTGGATGAAAGCATAAATGTAGTAGTCTTGTTCCCAACCAAATCCTTTAACAAACATAAATTCATTTAGATACCCCAACCCCAAACAATAATCAGGAAGAAACACACAATCCACTCTCGCGAAATGTCCAGCCAAGCTTCAATATCAAGAATTTGGCAAAAACCAAATCCAACGGCTATAAATCAACACAATTCATTAAATCAACCCAAAACCTTCTTTGGCTCCTTCAAAGCCCCAAAAAAATTTAAAAAAATCAAAACACACACACACACAAAATAGCAACAACCCAAGACACGTACCAAGCCATAAATCTAAACTCCATTCACCGTGAAATAATATCAAACCCAGTTGCCCAATTTCCTTCTCCCCTGTCAAAACATATAAAGAATGAGCAAGTACCATCTAAATTCCAAACCCCCAAACCAGGCAACCAATACGAACAATAGAAGCCCGATTACATTAACCTCACTGCCTCACAAAACGAGCCCTACAAAGAATGAGAATATCCAGCATATCCAAGCAAACCAAACTTAAAAACATAACTCCTATTCTTACCAAAAACAAAAATAAGAGAAAGAAGGAAGCAACAGAATCGAATTCAATAATCAAATTCCATCATTGCCAGTAATCAAAACCCAGGAAACCCACATTAAGAAACCTCAATTACAGATGAAAAAGATAAACAAAAAGTAAAACTCACCGCCATTTTTTCTTCAGAAAGCTTTGAATAAAGCCCAGAAATGGCAGACAAAGAATTCTTCAATAGTATTCAAACTTCCTCCTCGACTACCCTCCTAATACCAGCCGGAAAATTCATAAATACCCAGCTTCTTCACCAATTCCCACGAAGATCCATAGAAAAAGAGAGCCAAAACCAGTCACCCATTGACCGGCACCACCGGTATTGTTTGACCTTTCAGACTTCTCCCTCCGTCTCTCAACTATGTTTCAAAATTTCCTATCGACATTTATTAAAAAAAATCCTCTCAACAAAACCCGCAAATGTACTACTCTACATTTCCCCTGTATTATATTTACTCTCTCTCTCCGCTGTTCAGCGTTGACTGTAAAAACGTCTGGTATACGGTTGGTGCAGTTTAATGGCGGCTCACTATCAAAACTGATTTTTTTTTTTCTTTTTATTATTTATTTCTGTTCCTTCCTCCGACATTTTTGAGTCAAAACTACCCCCAATATGGCGATAAAATTGCAATAACTACCCTTACATAAAAGAAGAAAAGTCCTCTTTTAAAAAACTTTCTTTCATGTTGGGTAATCTCCATTGAAGAAAGATGTTCATTTAAAGTTACAAAACAAACAGAGAAATTACAATTTTAGCAAGTCTTCTTGATTGCATGTAGATATTTCAACAAACACCTTCACTGAAAAAAGAGAATTGCCAACATCATTAGCCATTTTATTCTAGCTGAGTCATAAATGTTTGCTAAAGTTAAGCCCAAAGTTGCTAGTCCACAAGTTACATTTCAAAGCTCTGATTGCTACCAGACACTCAAGTCCCACATATATCTTTTAAGGCCCATTCCTCCCAAAGTTGCAGAGTGTTGCAGATTGCCATGGCTCCACTTTGGCTGCAACACCTCCCCACTCACACAAGCACACACAAATCACAATCCTCCAAAGAAGCCTCCAGTACTCATTGGGCCTTACCTAAAGTCTAATTCTGATACTCAGAACTTATCTGAAAGGCAAATTTGATTCTACCTTTTCAGCCACCAAGTTTACTGCAGCATAGCTGTGAATCAGTTTTGACTTCCTGCATTAAACTATAGCTTCTTACCTTTGACTCTAGAGTTTGGGTTATTAAAAATTTAATTCCTAAAGCAAACTAGCATGCTCTAGCGAATGAGAAGATGGTTGACATTTCAAGACTTCAATGTCAATTACAGCAAGGTTAATACTCATCCACTTCTGTCTGCATCTTTCCGAAATCATCAAAGTAGGAAGTGGGTTTTTTATGCATTAGGCCCTACAACTTGTAGGGTACAAGGTATTGATGGCAGACTTTATTACCCTCCTACTACCTTATGCACCCTCATATTTATTTATTGGGCACTTGGAATTCCTGTGGAATGGAATCATGTTATTATAGTTCGGTTGCTGATTTGGGACCATCCAATTTGTGATAAAAATGTCACGTCTACAATGAAGCAGGACAAAGCCTTCTTTCTGATCATAAAAGTAAGTAGTTTTGGCCTATTAATTAGGAGGCTGCCCCAATTATCAAAAATGGGTTGCACGGTTGCACTTGGAAACGATTCAAATAAGTGTGAATCTAAATATATAGTGTAAAATGGTTCATATAAATTGTTAAGTTGGGTTAGTTTTGCATTGATAAATTTATTTTCTTATCAAATAAACTTTTAGTTTCAATGGATGCAAATACGAATTCCAATAAAGTATATGTTTTTTTTTATCAAAAGTCACTTGAATGCAAATTTATTCTTTTTTATTTATGTACTTTTACATCTTATTATCAATATAAATATGCATTGAAAAATGTGTTTTCTGTGCATAAATGTAATGCTGCCAAATACAGGCAAAAGTGAACCAAAGTGCAAATTTATCCTGAACCGAGATTTACACTCCTTTTGCATCGTTTCCAAACGCAGCCTTAATTTTCCATGTCATTTGTACACATGGAAACGGCAAGACTAGAAATAAATTCGTTTTTTCAAATCCTAAATTGATTCCATTTTTTATTTTATTAACCCATTTTAGGTGAATTTATGTATTTAAATATTAAGAAATCCTAAAATTAAATTGAGATTGTTTGATGTGATTTATACATTTCCATAGGTTTCTTTTTCTTGTGATGTGATATATTTCTCTCATTAATATCAAATCTGTGGGGAATGAAAGGGAGATATAGAGATAGGTTATAAAATATTTCATTTTTGCTTCAACGGACTTAACACTTTCTTGATAAGAAGCATGAAAGAAATTATATCAATTTGGCAAGTAGGGAATAGATAAACAATTTATCAAAAGTCGATCCATCATCCCAAACCTCTATTGGTTTTGGTTTGTTTTTCTCCCTAAGATTTTGGTTTGGGGCTTCAAGAATCATGATTTACATGGGGTCAGATTGCTTGAAGAAACAGGCTCAACCTTCTTCTCTTGGTAAAGGATTTATTGAGATGGCAAGGCCAATGATGTCTAAATGCTACATTGCTTGATTTCTGATTTTCCCCCTTAACAGAAAGGTGTTGATAATTATGTAGTTTCCCAATCCACATCCTTTCAAATAAACATTCTTGACTTTGGAGGTAGCCAAAATGCCAAACCATCTCTTCACATGATAAAAGAAACTAAAAGAAAGGATAATTTTACATGATAGATTTAGGGTCCGTTTGGTTCACAGTTGGAATCGGAAATAAAATCCTTCGGAATCAGAACCAGAATGGTCCATTCCCATAATCTGTTTGGGTCTGGCAGGAATGGGAACGAGAATTCAAATCAGCGGGAATGGGATTTCATTCCCAAGGAAGGGGCAGGGAATGGCCATTCCTTCAAATGGGGGAATACCATTCCAACAGAAAATGGAAATGAGATTCCGATTCCGCCCAATCAAACAGTTAGAATTAAAATAGCCCATTCCGATTCCGATTCCAGACCCCTATTCCTGCAAACCAAACAGGGCCTTAATTCTTTTGGAATGCAATGCAATTATTTTATAAATGTTTGAACTTTGAAGGTTAAGGTTCTATAAGAAAGTCAAAGTAAATATTTTGATGTAAATTAAAGCCTCTAATGAGAAATCAATAGTAAGTACAATGAGAACAGATCTGAAGGCATATACTTTGACCCAAGATATAGCCTAGATAGAATGGAATGGCAGAACAGAAATTGAAGATTGAAGGATATGTAACACAATAAATTGGAATAATCACTGACAACGATGCCAATGATGTTGATGATGATCAAAATGACAATTGGCTAAGTGGACAAATCTTTGTAGGAAAGCATAAATGCCTTGTGATTCAAACCTGTCTAGTAGCTGATCCTATTCTCTTGCTTGAAGAAATATATAAACACAGCTAATCACAAAAAGACAGAAGTTAAGCAAGGTTTCTATGTTATTTATACATCGAATTTGTCTAATAATGATGATGATGACATCTTGAAAGGAAGTATTTTGTCAATTGGGAAGGCAAGAAGTTGGTAAATTGATTAATTATGTGATTATATATAATTAGTAAACCAATCTTTGTTTCCTTCTCTGTATAATTTTATTCAAATTGACCTACTATCATCTTCAGCATCAATATTACAGGCTATCCAATGATGGGTCCAGAATCAAACTGTTTTTTGTTTATGATTTGATTTGGTCAGAAACAGTTTGCCAGAAGAACAAGAGAATGAACATGCTTCTCACCTTAAGAGCATGTCTGTATACAAATGGCTGTAATAACTGTTTCATATCCAACCATTAAGACTAAACCCTATTTTAAAATAACCTAATCATGTTATATGTACTTGGTGTTTATGGTGCACACAGGAACAGGATTGTGAAACTACCTAACCATTTGATTGGCCCTGAGATCAACTTCTCAGATCAAACATGATCAGATGGGTCTGGTTGAGTCATTCTAAGTCTTAAATTTGTCCATAATAAATTTAATAATTTAATAATGAATTTGTTTATACTTAATGTTTCCTTGATGAACCGAAACTGGATTAGACCAATAAACAAGAAAGCTAACCAAGCGACAGACATGTTTGGGACCAAATTGAATTTTTTTATATGGAATGGAGGAATCCATATTGAGTTTTTTTTTTTTTTTTTGGCACTCTCCATGCTTGATTATTAAGAAAAATATTGGCATTTTGTCAAACCAAGATTATTAAAACTAATAAATCCTTAATTAACAATAATCAATGACCATGATGAGAGCTTGTTTGGCAGTGTCGAACTGAAGATTTAGTTAGGCTGGTTCGGTTGCTTTGAAGCACTCCGAATTAACTATTAAAAGAGGCTGAAGAAGGGCCAGATCTTTAAAATGACCACTGACAGACGATATGGGCTCTCCGGAATTTTCACCAAACATAACTTTAAGCCGTCTATGTTGGGCCCACCTTGAAAAGCCAGAATGCCAGATTAGCCCTCCCAAATGGGCACCCACGAGGATCAGTTTGTAACTGGTTGGTGGAAGCATAAATGAAATCAGCCCAGGTAATTAAAGGGCCGTTGGACTATTAAAACGAAAACGCTTTAGCTGTTCAACGGGTTGTATAACCAATGACAAAATTCCATGTCAGTATTTAAATACATGGAGCCCGCATCTTTATAGTGAGGCCCATGAATTTATTATTGACGTAAAAATTCATCATTGATTCAACAGCCTATTGAACAGCTAAAGCATTCAGCCAATCCAAATTTTATGGAAACAGCTGAAATGGCTGGATTAAAAAAGCTTATTGTTTTGTTTTTTAAGCTGTGTTTGGTTTGAAAAAAAAATTCATTATTTCCTTACCTTTTCTTTCAAACCAAACACAGTCTGAATAAGTTTTTAAGGATGCTAACTCCTTCATGGCTAAAGTTGAAGTTGGGTACTTTTTTGTTTTTTCTTTTGTAACTCCTTAAATATTTTTTATTTAATTATTTTATCATAGCAGACAAAGCAATAAGTCATTCAGTTCAGCAACTCCAGCCATTATCAAACAACCCCAAAGACCATGTTTTTAATTTGGTTGTTGAGAGATTCTTCACCAAACAAAGCCCAATATAATTTGTGCAAATTCCCTGTTTGTGTATGCAGACGTCCCAACTCCCTATACCTGTATTTTTATACATGTAGACTTTGTCTAATGTTAGTCTGCAAATAAACCGGGTCTCACGGAAAAATATTATTTAGGGGGACAGAGAGCGATAATCCCATGTCAAGAATCGGTCCATTCAGTCAAAATCTATGTTCACACTTTATACTAATTCAAAGCTTGTTCAACAAACAAATTCAAAGGAAAAGAAAGAAAAACTTGTAATCCATTTTAGAGATACCTTTTCTTCTGGTTCT